AAAATTTTGATATAAGTAGACAATGTTTATTTATTAACTATACTGATTTGTTACTCCTAGTTTATTTACATGGCATTTCATCCTGTTGACCAGTCACTCAAGTGCAGAATTACCCTTGGTGGGTTGTCGTGGCTTGAGATGAACAATGTCAGGTACTACCTTCAAAATCACCTTTTTCCAAGGTAATTAAATTTCGCGAATCAACTGAGTACACTAGTGCTCGTTTTTTAAACTTTCATTTCTGCATTTTATTTAACCATAATGGACCTGAAAGGCAACAAGCAACAGGCTGAAATGTTCAACAATGTCATCAACATAACATCTTTTGAAAGTTACAGTACACTGATATAAGCAACCAAGGCACTATTTAACTCCACGGCGCTGCCAGTAAGCGTTTAGATAAGGATGGCTTTGATGTTTTCAAATAGATCTTTAGGTGATAAGGTTGTCTTCGATCCTTTTGCCATGTGCCGATTTTCCCCACTGCCTGTCAAGTGGTTGTAAAAAATATTTTTAATAGGATAAACCAGTGAGCAGCACTTCTGTGAACGTCTTAAGTTGTAAAATTGTTTTATTGTCTCCTACGCGTTTCGTGTGACTGGCACACACTTTATCAGGAAGCTTTACAATACAACCAATCCACATATATACCTAAAAACGAACTGAATTTTACATTGAACACAAAACACCTACAAATTTGCATATAGGAACTGCAAACCTTGTGGTTATACGTCTAACGGCCTGTTTACATGGAGGTGGGGGACCCCAGGTAGGTGAGGTAACCCACGTAAGTTGGGTAACTCACCTATCCATATAACCTCTCATTTTAATTTGATCACCATGATAGGTGGGGTGACCCGTCAAGGCAGGTAGCCCGGTCTGGCAGACCGGGTTACCCTCTCAGACGGGGTCAAATTTTGCCATGTAAACGTTTCAAGGTGNGGACCTGAAAGGCAACAAGCAACAGGCTGAAATGTTCAACAATGTCATCAACATAACATCTTTTGAAAGTTACAGTACACTGATATAAGCAACCAAGGCACTATTTAACTCCACGGCGCTGCCAGTAAGCGTTTAGATAAGGATGGCTTTGATGTTTTCAAATAGATCTTTAGGTGATAAGGTTGTCTTCGATCCTTTTGCCATGTGCCGATTTTCCCCACTGCCTGTCAAGTGGTTGTAAAAAATATTTTTAATAGGATAAACCAGTGAGCAGCACTTCTGTGAACGTCTTAAGTTGTAAAATTGTTTTATTGTCTCCTACGCGTTTCGTGTGACTGGCACACACTTTATCAGGAAGCTTTACAATACAACCAATCCACATATATACCTAAAAACGAACTGAATTTTACATTGAACACAAAACACCTACAAATTTGCATATAGGAACTGCAAACCTTGTGGTTATACGTCTAACGGCCTGTTTACATGGAGGTGGGGGACCCCAGGTAGGTGAGGTAACCCACGTAAGTTGGGTAACTCACCTATCCATATAACCTCTCATTTTAATTTGATCACCATGATAGGTGGGGTGACCCGTCAAGGCAGGTAGCCCGGTCTGGCAGACCGGGTTACCCTCTCAGACGGGGTCAAATTTTGCCATGTAAACGTTTCAAGGTGGGGTAACCCGCCTAGGCGGGGTGGGATTTGTGATACATCAAACTTGCGCAAAATTCACATTGGCAGTGGCTTTGCATCATTATTAAAGGTAACAATAGAGAGCCACATCACTGAAGGTTTCAGCAAGAGCAGCAAGCGAGTGTAGAAGAGCAATAATCGCCAAAACACATGGTTTGCCAGTATTTTTCTTGTTTACGTGCTTAGTGACCATTCAATAATCTTGAGAAAGTACGTCCCGGGATGGGGGGTTGTAAGATTGCATATAAAGGAGGGTTATTTTTTACGCCACCAAAGCGGGTTACTTCACCAACCTGGGCTCCCCCACCTCCATGTAAACAGGCCCTAAGAAACAGGCGGAGGAATATTTTTCAAGGCGTGACATATTTGTAATGTTTTGGGGCCCACAGTTTTAGCTAAGTACTCCTAGCAGACAAAAAACTTAACTAAAGGTTTTTATATAGGTCACTAAGTTTCGCATCTTTAATTTTCGCGGGACTTTAATTTCACGAATATTAAGTCTCGCGAAAATAAGTCATAATAATCTAAAAAGGTTATACCACATCAGTAGTACAGAGAGCCAGCAATATTGGCAAAAAGATGTTTTGGAAACTCTTTATGGTCTCTCCTATTTTAATCATATTTTCCAAAGTTAGTTTCACAGCTCAGTTGTCTGACCATTAATTTCAAACCATTTTATGAAAGGGTTTTAATTCTCTATCAGACAGTAGACGGATCGATTTTTGAGCTAAAGAATGAGACATCATTTACTTTTAATACAGTACTTTGAACTCATCTTTAATAATAAAATTATGGTTTCTGTGGTAGCAATTATATACCTCTGGCCATTAGCATCTCAAAGCTCCTGAGTTTGATTCCAAGCAGAGGTGATTTTGTTTTTTAGCTTTTCTTTAAGATTTAATGCTGGGACAGTTACACTAGGTGACAAGTCACTGCAAAAGGTCTACATGAATAGACAGGTAAGAGTGATTGTGTGACACAATAAATTATGAAAAGGACTTAGCACTGAAAAGTATAGGTGATATATAAATATCATTATCATCATCATCATTATTATTATTATTATTATTATTATTATTATTATTATTATTATCATTATTATTGAATTATAGAATATTTACAAAAATCTGTCCTTGCCGAAGAATTTTTTCCAAACAACAAGTTACATTTGTGACTAGACCATGGCCCTTAATGTCATGTTGCTGGGACTTGTGGCCAGTTGTGTCCCAGCCTTTCATACACCAGCAGCTATTCTCTGTCCTCCACTATTCAAACCAGTGAAACTGCCACTGATTTTGCATTTACTTTAAAACAATAGATTCAGGTCCAATATAAAAGCAAATTTTACTTTTAATTGCTGTATTAGCTCCTATTCGTGCCTGCAAATCCTTACTAAAAGTTTTTCCACCATTAAGTTGTTTTCCTTGTCATTTCACAATGGGCAGTATGATGAGTAGCAGTTAATTGTATCATCTCAGTATTGATTTCTTGAAAGCTTCAATTTAAAGATTATGATAGAATGACAAATGCTAGGCTCAATGTGTATACAGAGGTGCATTCATTTGATCTTATTTTGGAAGAGGAATTATTTTAATACATTCAACAACAACTAACTCTGTCAACAACTGATATTGTTGGCACAGCAGTATATTTCTTGTCCACAATATTCTAGTAGAACTGAAGGGGTCGACAAAGAAGAGTTCTTCACACTTAAATGAGAGATCACCAATTAAAATTTTGGAGAATAACAAATTTAAAGAGCATAAGGAAAGGCGTTTGTATTTGAGGTAATTTGTCGGCCTTCTAACAATAAACTTTCCCCATTCATGCTCTATGAAGCTAAAGTGTTTCTTCTCTGTTTTTAAGTAGCTACCATTTTCTTCCAAGTGTCTCCTCTTTCTCATTTCAATTCAGTCTAAACTGCTGTTGATGGCCACCAAAAATGCAAAGATTGAGTCAGGTCATCTTAAGGAGGTGGCCACTATGAATTGAATGACAGTAGGTCCCTTCGTAGGAGATCGAGATCCCAACACATCTACATTTTGGAACAGAACTCATCGCATGCAGTTTCTAATCTACAATATGTGTAGTTTCATGGTGTCACTAAAAGATTTTCACATACTTTGAGTAGTGTACTACACACAGCAAACAACAAAAAAACAACTGACCATGATATAAGGAAAACAATGTCATTATTGTGTACTGCTCAGACTGTTTGGAATAAAGACCTTAAGAAACACTGATTCCCAATTCCGGCTATATATGGATGTATTATGGGTAGGTGAACAAGTTTTTGATCAGGTACATGTAATATAATAATAATTATAATTATTTGTCACCTTATGATGTAATATAATTATTATATTACATCATAAGGTGACAAATAATTTGATTTCTGCAGATCTGGAAATAATCCGGGGGGGGGGGGGGG